GTTGCTGAAAGGAGGAATAGAACATTGTTAGAAAAGGTGAGGTCTATGATGGCGCAAGCTAACTTACCTATTTCCTATTGGGGAGATGATTTGTTAATTGCGACCTATGTTCTGAATAGAGTTCCCTCAAAATCGGTACCTACTACACCATATCATCTTCGGACAAGTAGATCTCCTTATTTGAGTTCTCTTAGATCCTGGGAATCAGCTGCCTATATCCATGATTCCTCAAATAAGTTTGGAAATCGGGTCTGCGAGGCAAGAAGTGTGTTTTATAAGATACTCAGACCAATCCAAAGGATATGTATTTATTGGTAAAAATCGAGATGGTACTGTAACTGAGATAGAATCACGTGATGTGACGTTTCTTGAAAATGATTTTCCTAGTATGGGAGAAATTAAAAAGGGAGAACCCTTGTATGAATTAGATGATAAAGTTGTACTTGATGGATCAACTGAGGTACAAGAGAAAGCATTACCACATGTTGATCGAAGTGGGAGCGATTTATCTCCAACTCTAATTAACAGGGTCACATCAGAACTTTCACTTCGTAAGAATACTAGAAAAAGTATGCCAAAACGTCATTTCGAGATTTAAGGGCAAGTTTTTTTAGTATCTCTAGAAGATGATAAAGAACCAAAATCAATACAAGAAACTCTATCATGCCCTGCAAAGGAAAAGTGGAAGAATGCAATGGAAGAAGAGATGGAGTCTATGAAATCAAATCAAGTCTGGGACTTGGTTGATCTTCCATCTGGTCGAAAATCCATTGGGAACAAATGGGTTCTCAAAATAAAGTGAAGAGCTGATGGGACTATAGAGAGGTATAAGGCTCGCTTCGTGGCAAATGGTTATACTCAACAAGAGGGTATAGATTATCAAGAGACTTTTTCACCAGTAGTGAGATTTACTTCAATTCGTCTACTCTTAGCTATTGTGGCACGTTTAGATTTAGAATTACATCAAATGGACGTGAAAACTGCATTTCTCAATGGAGAATTGGATAAAGAAATCTATATGCAACAATCAGTAGGTTTCATTAAAACTGGTCAGGAGAATAAAATTTGTAAATTGAATAGATCAATCTATGGCCTAAAGCAGTCTTCTAGACAGTGGTACTTGAGATTTGACAAAAGCAATTATCTCATACAATTTTGTCATGATGGACGAAAATCACTGTATATATTTAAAAAGGTCCAATGAGAAATTTGTAATTTTATCACTCTACATAGATGATATCTTACCATTTGGGAATGATAAGAAGTATATTAAAACCATTAAAAAATGGTTGTCTTCAAATTTTGAAATGAAGGACATGGATGAAGCATATTATATATTAGGTGTTAAAATCCATAGAGATCGTTCGAACAGGCTTCTAACTTTGTCACAAGAGCCATATATAAAGAAAATTCTTGAACTTTTCAAAATGGAGAATTCCAAGTCCATTAACACTCCTGCATCGACAGGCGAAATTGTAAGTCTTCGTATGTGTCCTAAAACTATTGAGGAAAAAGAAGAAATGTCCAGAGTTCCATATACTCCAGTGGGTTAGCTATGTCAACGAGACGAACCGAGTTACGAGCCAAAACTCAAAGCTCAGGCTCAACTCAAGCAAAACAAGTCCAAGCTTTTTTGAGCCCGAGCTGACCTATGTTTTTTTTTTTTTTTTAAATTCGTTATAAATCTATAATTTTTTATAAACTATTTAAAGTTTTTACAATTTATACGTGTTATAAATAATAACTATAACTATATATAGTTTTTACTATATATATATATATATATATAACACATTTAAACTTAAAAGAAAAATTTTTAAAAATTATTTTTTTTTATATTACTTAGTCACGGGTCGGTGACGAGCCACAGACCAGCCCGAGCCTCGGCTCGGTGGACTTGAGCCCGGCTCGAGCTTTTTTCGGGTCGAGCCGGCGAGTTTTTTTGTCATCCCTAAGTACGGTTGGGAGCTTGATGTACGCTATGATGTGTACTCGTCCTGACATTTGTTATGCCATCAGTCTGGTCAGTAGGTATCAATATAATCCTACAAGAGAGCATTGGAAAGCTGTTAAGAGGATATTAAGATATCTGAAATGTACTGCTAATTATTCCTTATGCTATCAAGGGAATGATTTGTGCTTAAAAGGATACACGAATGCTGATTGGGGTGGAGACGTATATGAGCGAAAATCAACTTCAGGATATGCATTCTTGCTTAATAATGGCGCCATCTCTTGAAGTAGCAAGAAACAGACATGCATTTCCTTGTCTACAATGGAAGCAGAATTCATAGCATGTGCTTCAGCGGTACAAGAAGCTGTTTGGCTAGGGAGATTCTTACAACATCTAAGAGTCTTTAGTAGTGATGTGAGACCTGTATTGATTTACTGTGATAGTCAGACAGCTATTGCATATACAAAGAATCACATGTATCATAGCAAAACCAAACACATTGATACAAAATATAATTTTGTAAGAGACATCATAGGAAAGAAAGAAGTGAGTTTGCAGTATATTTCTACACACCAAATGGTAGCTGATCCATTTACAAAACCTATCCCTAGAGGTATTTTTATGAATCATGTTAGATCTCTGGGATTGCGTAGAATTTGAGTTATGTACTATGTAAATTTTTTTTCCTACAAGTCCATTAATGAACAGTATTTTTGGGTTCATATGTTAAGAGTAATCTTTTATTTATTTATTTTTTTTATTACCTTTGAATATGCGCACATAAAGTATGTCAAACAGGTTGAGATTGGTTCACTCACACGAGCAATCGCCTCAGACACTTTGAGGTGTGCTGAGATGAGACACAGTGATCATATTGTGTACATAATCCAGTCGCCTTGATAAGATATCAAGATGAGATTACAACAAGTAATCGGTATGAATTTTATTTTACTATCCGTAAGACCTGTTCTATAGCCATATCGAGTTCTCGATTGAGATTGCCTAAAGGAAGGAGAACTCATGTTAGATATTGAGGAATATCTGAACAATGATCTGTACGGTGTATTTTATTTGTAATATTAGACATATGCCCTAAGAAAGGGAGAAAATATCGTAGCACGTGTTTCATACCACGTGTGCTTTAACGACCAATGAAAAATGAAAGAATTGATCTCAGCTTCTTCATTGTGTGAGTCTCTGAGGCACATACTTATATACCCTTATGACTTTTGACTGTTTCTCGAAATTTTATTTCAGTGTTGCTACTTTAGCATATTACCAATAAATATGGTTGATTTGGTTTGATGGAACATGTCTAGGAAAGCAGTTGACTTGAAATAAAGGGATTCAAGTAGGAAAGGAAGATTATTTTATCTAACACCTCAGCTTGTATTCACCGGCCGGACAATTGTGTAATCATTTGAGTTTTGTGACACAATCGTGAATACAATATAAATGAGAAGGTTGAGCATGTTCTAAAATAAATTGAGGGGTCAGAAATACTCAATCTGGTGTTACAAAATACATCTAGGGTATAACGAGAAATATATTTCCTCTTCTAGAGCTACTATATATCCCTAACAAATGTATAGTATTGTGTGCTCTTAAATTAACTTTCGCTAGTCATACGATCCATTTACCTGCATGAACTTAGAGACATTGAAATAAATATAATTGATATTAGAATCAGGTCACGCCCATCATGTGCGAGTGGGAGATGTTGGAAGAAAATGGGGTGCCCATGTGGGTTGCCCCGACCTGACCACATGAAAATCAAGAGAGAAAAATACATATGGGTGGTGGCTTGTTTTTGAAGTATATCATTTCTAAATTGATTCTTGGATTGTGGCTATCAAATTCCTCCCTTTGTGATCGAATTTTCAACCAAGGAGTGATTACAATTTAACCTTGTGTTTGATGATTTCAAGTTTTACAATTTAAATTTCCATTAAAAGCATGCAAGCATATTTTACATTTCCTTTCACCAAGTCATCACTAGCAATCGAACTTAATCGTTGGTGGCTAATTTATTCTTGTCTGAGAAAGACTCCCGCGGCAAGGTTTAGCAGAGTCAACATCATTCTTTACTTTGTCAAGTCTGTCTCTTGCCTTTCGGATGGGGTCTAACCTGAACTTAATCGTTGGTGGCTAATTTATTCTTGTCTGAGAAAGACTCCCGCGGCAAGGTTTAGCAGAGTCAACATCATTCTTTACTTTGTCAAGTCTGTCTCTTGCCTTTCGGATGGGGTCTAACTCGAGGTTAGACCACTGGGGTGGTTGTGAAGATGCGGACCCCAAATACAGATTTCGTTTTAGTTGTTTAATTAGCCGCTAGTTCGTGGCCTTTTTTTTTTTTTTTTGGGTGGAAAAACTTTAGTTTGAATAGTGCATTTTGAAAAAATGAATAGTTAAATAGTAGAAAAAAGTTTTGAATTTACTTACAGAATATTTTATTGTGATAATATATAATTAAAAATGAGTACAGAGGAATTTGAAAGAACGAGAGAGAGACGAGGCCTTAATAGAAGAAACCTGAAAAATATTTGTCGCTTGACAAAACAATATATTTAGGTCAACCCTTGATATTATAGTAGTTGAAACTTGAAAGTACGTCTTCAATGAAAAATAGAGAGCATAAAAGCAAATATTCATGGTGCTTTCTGCTTCCAAGTACCTCAATTTTTGCATCTAGGAAGTAGGGCGAGTTCAAGTTATAGTGATCTATCCATTTTAGCCGAGAATAAACGGGGCATTATAATCTACTGTCAAACTGAAGATTTCTGTCCATCGAAGGCTCTCAAGTGCAAAAAAATGGAAGCTTTAGATAGAGGCAACAAATTGAAGGTGCATACATACTACATATCAAATATCAAAGGGATCTCAGCATAATTTCTCGAGAGCTCTCTACTATGCTTGGTTTAAAGCATACCCAAAAATTTACAGGAACCACCGTTAAATGAGAATCATGAGCCATTTCCAGTGTCAGGGAGGAACGGATTCACAGCTAATTTATCCATCCATGGCAACAACATCCTCATTCCTCTTATTAGTCTGCTGCTTTCAACCTCTGCCATAACAGTAAATAAGTACAGCATTATTCAAGTTCAATTTTTAATTGACGTCACTTACATTAGCAAGTGAATAGGAATAATTTCATCATTTTCCTTCGTAGGGTGCTATATAAATTAGAAATTCCTTTTTCCCCAAGCTTCTTTTGTCCTTTCCTTTTCATTCGTTTTTCTTTCGGTTTCATCCCCCCTATCCATGCCTTTAAACATTTCCTCATTCCCTTTTCCGTCACCTTTATTCTTGCATACTACCAGTATTGGGTCTTTTAATTATTTCTTTTGCGCAAACGGGAGAAGAGTGACAGTAGTTTAACATCAACACCTCTCTCTGGGAGAGGAGAAAAAAGGGGCAAGATTATGAACTAGTGAATCAATCTTTAATGAAGCATACAACTTACTTTAACTGCATTAGAAGCATCGTTGCTCATACGTGAAAACATAGCTGAGTAGAGTTTTGAATCTCTTCTGTTGCTCTCTGCTAGAAGTTTTTTCAGATTCTTCTGGATTAACTTCACTTCCCTGAAATCACTCATCAAGATGGCACCACAAGATGCATAAATTTCACAAAAATACAATCTTATCCAGGTAAAAATAGAATAAACCGATAGCTCGTGTATACCTGTTCAGAGGATCCACTTCTAAGGCCTTCTTAATGTCTAACTCAGCCAGGTGCAATTCACCAACCTCCATATAAGCTTGAACTCTCCGGTATAATGCTTTCACATTGCAGGACTCCACGTCTAGGACCTACCAACAATTAGGCTGACGATATTATGTCATTGAATTTCTGATACAAGACGGCCATTAAACTTTGAAAGTGAGAAAAATTTAAGAAAAGAGGAAGAAGGAAAGGAATTATCACTCTTGACGTTCACTGAGTCTCAGTTCACTTCATGGTTTCAAACCATATTATCAGCATATATGTGAGATTGAAATTGGCTGATATTATGACGATACTAGAATAATTACGTGGAAATAACGAGATACTAATTTTTACCTTTAATGGGGGCAACATAGTCATTCTAAGAGAGAATGTCGCAAGAACACAGTTATATGTATATTGTTACCTTTGAACATAGCTTAATTACTTCCTGAAAATCATTCAGTTTCAGATTACACGCTGCACCATTCAACCAGCACGACAATCTCAATGACTTGACTAGCTTTTGGTCATCGTCTGTGAAGGCTCCATCTTCACTCACATACTCAGCTGCCTGAGAGCAGTACAAAGAAAAACATATACGTCAGAGAGACCGAAGATATAGCCATTCAAATTTAATGTCAAAACGAATCATCTGATGTACCTTCTCATATTTCTTCCCAGCTCTATGATACTTTCCAGTTCTGAAGAGTTGATTGCCTTCCTCTTTTTTCCTAACAGCTGCCTCGATTCTCTCAAGATTACTCATTTCCCAAGGTGCTTTTTCCTTTCCGTGAACATGGATTAAGATGTAATTAGAACTCGTACACTTATAATATCCTAGTGGGCACAAGATCTAGTAAAAAGCAAGCAAAGACATCTTAAGAAACTACACTCTTGATATGGGGAAAAGAAATACTAATTAACTCTCCCAGATAAGGTTCTTATAAGCTTTTCATTTAGAAATTATAAAAATGAAAAGTATATCCAATGAATATAATATAAAAGAAACATAAATCACATCCAATATTTTGCAACATCAATACATAATGGATAAAGTGGAAAAAAGAGAACGTGGAAAAACAAGATACATGTCTTTTTGAGTAGCAAAAGATCGAAAATTGATAAATCTATCCTAACAGTAGCCTGGATTCCAACTACATTTACTCAACTCAAGCCAACAAAGTCTTATCCTTCACACGTGTGGGGTCAGCTACATGGTTCCTTTTCTTGCACTCTGTTCTATTAAGATGGGTAACACCAAAAGTTCAACAATAAAGGCTCGACTCCTTTCATCTCACACCATGTGATTTTAGGACACCCTCTCCCTAAGTTTACCTTTAATATTAGTTCCACTGATTTCAACTGAGATTGAGATCACCTCATCCCAACTATATGCATTGCACAAAAACAGAATGCATTTCTTTACTCCAAAGTTCTCAGAAATTATCAAAGACAGATTTGGAATCTTGGTCAGTAACTAATGTGACAGATAATTTAGAATACTTAGCTTTTGGCTATCCAAATAAGGTAATACCTTTAATGAATTTAGAAGTATTATATTACAAACATATATTCAAGAGATCCTGATGGATATTGAGATAAGATGCACATAAAGATATATATATATATATATGGAAGTTAGTTAGGATTTTAAAATAAGATTTTGATTCAAAATACATTTATTTACATTAGGTTAGATTAGTTCAAGCTTTCAATAAGGTTTTAGTTTATTAGAAGTTTGTTTTATTTTAGTTTCTTTCAGTTTCTTGCTCTACAAAAAGAGGGCACTTATTCATTGTAACATTCAACCCTTGATTATATGAATAATAATTGATTTCCTCTTGCTCTCAATTCTTTTCATTTTTGGCACCCTTCCTTTTCCTGTTCATAGTCAAATTAGTACGCTCCAGCATCAGTTCCATTTTTTCTTTCACTATTCGATAAAGGGGACTCGGTTGGGTAGAAGACTGAATATAACAGTATTATATGCTTCTGGGAGGCCGAGTAAACACTTTGCATTGATTTTAGAATAGGAGGTTTAAAAGACATTATAAAGGTAATTTGAGCACATATAATGTTATTTCCATAAGATTACATACAGGAATAAACTGGTTCAACAATGTTAGAATAGATTATTAGTTATTCATTAGCATTCATTATGCAAATATTATGAACAAACTATTCAGAAAATCAGATTGAAGAATACCGAATTCAAGGTTACATCTACTTTGTTCCAACTCCAAAGCACATTATGCAAGTATAATATTGTAACACTGCATAAAGGCATCCATTAGTTCTTTGACTAAGTAGAGACTCAAATAGCCGCTTGGATTTCACAAGTTCACTTGCAAGCTTTGCATTCTAAGCAAATAATCAGCAGACAAATGTAGCTGAATCTAGACCCAGACAAACACATTCAGATAGCCAAGATTTTTGATGATTACACCAATTTGACAGGATATCTAATGTGTTCGCGCTAACTTGACTGACACTTAAGTGAAATGGTATTATTTATATGGGAATTCATGATCCACTGAAAAAAAAAATGAACTGAGAAATGAAACACTAGAAATTGAGAGGATAACAGTTCCAGATGTGACCCAAATCTTCTCAAGGAATCATTTTTGTAAAATACAAGAAATGTAATGTCAACGCTAAACCAGAAAATAACATCAAGGTGAAATCCCCCATCATCATCGGGGGGACCGTAAATCACTTTATATTTCTCTGGTCGGAGAAACAAAATGGATGATGTATAAGTAAAATTCGGCATCTGGATTCTATATCATGAAATCAGGTTCCTACGCATGCGTTTCTTCCGATGAATTCTGCAGTAGCAATACTTACCCTTATGAAATCCAACATTTCAACTTCATACACGACAGTAGAAGATGATGGAATTATGGAAAGATCCCGCTTTACTTCAGAGCTTCCAAATCCATATTCTGAGGAAATTGTTAGTATCGCACATTCACCTTTCTTCATTGTAGTCGCTGCTCGGTCCAACCCAATAATTACTTCCTCTACAAATAATAAACACAGAATATCAACTGATGATTCTCAGTTGCTTTATAAATATATTTCATAGGACAACTTCTTAGAAAATCTAGCCATTCTTTGCTACTACAGTACCCATTTCTGACACCAATCGGAGTTTGAGAGGTAACAAGAGTGCTTTCTTTGATTGTCATCGTACACTGCATGGAATTCCAAAGATTTTATGCCTTATCCTAAACAATGTGCCTTGTACACATCCAATATCACATACCTTTTAAATACCTATTCTAACCAAACCAGCCTTTAAACAGGATATCCAGACATCCACCTATCGTACCTTCATTTCTCGATAACATGCAAAACTTAACTAAGCCCAATAAGGAACTCAAATCATTTGAAGTGTACTCACCTTCATCTGTGATGAACTCCAATGGCTGTCCACCATCAAAACCCTTTCTCTCAAATACATTACCATCCTCTAATTTAGCAATATACCTAACTGCAGAATTGGAGCAAGATTCAACATTTTGAGAACATGTAACAGAAGAAGATGAGGTTATATCATGGATTACATGTTCTGATAGAAACAACTGGCCTTTATTTCAATCATTCTTCAAAATTCTAAAGGGTATAATATGTGGCAAAAGCATGTTATAGAAGCACAAAAGTTGTGTAGCTGACCGTGAATCTTATTCAATGGATTCAGATCATTCCATAAAATTGTGCTTTCAGTCAAATATATGCAAACATATTCAATGTTGACATTCTTTGCAACATTCAGGCTTCCATGTACACTTTATAGATCTAAATGTGACCGACATTGTTGTAACAACATCTACTCTTGCCGTGCTATCAAAAAGTTAAATTTTGCTTCTCACTGGCTACCGCATTTTGCTAGCCCGAAAGAAAAGTCACACCTTATACACTCATAGACACAAATGAAAGGTGGCATCTACATATAGTGCCATGTTGATCAACAAATTAAATTTTTTACTTGTATAGATAGCATTTTTGCTAGACTGAAAAGGGAAGTCATACCGAACATAAAATGAAAAACTTTATCATACACCATGTTGGGAATAGTTCTCTGACAAAAACAAAAATTTTGTTTTAAGTTTTGACATAGAATGCAACGAAAAAGAAAGAGACTTGTAGAAGAAGGGGAAAGACGGGGAGAGTGAAAGAGAAGAAGAGGGAGATAGAAAGAGGAGAAGAATCATCAGAAGAACAGAATTACTAGAGAGAGAAAATATTCGTTTATTCAATAATCAAGTCTAACTATTACAATGCATAAGCCCTCTTTATATAGGGTTCAAACTAATCTAATTTAAGTAGGAAACAACAAATAAAATACTAGAAAATCTATCAAACAAAACTCTAATTAGTTTTCCTAAAATAAGAATTTAAACTTGGAAAGACTTCATATATCTAATAGGATCTCCATCATAAGTTCTCATTCAAACTGAAAGAGTCCAGAAGAAACACAGTGTGGCTTTGCGAGGCAAACAATACGAATTAAATTCCCTTGTCCTTCGTTCCTTGTCTGACTATTTATGCATAACTAGCCATGGGAGGAAAACCCAACAATCATGATTTTCAAGCCTCAAAACATTACAGATGATCATTGATAAATAAATTCAATAGTTTTTAATCTGAGATCTTCTCTCACAAAAATATACAACCCATCATGTGAACTTAAAATTAGAAGAGAATGACATGCATTTTACACGTCAATATGTTTCGTTCAATAACAGTCCATACTCGAGTATAGATACTTACTAGTAACAGAAGCACCTTCATTTGCTGTGAGGACACCTTCTCCCTCCTTCAAAATCTTCTTTTTAACTTTCATATCGCCAGTAACATCTATTACATGCTTAATTGCATATAATTCCATAGAAATATTCAGCACAGAATTTGGTGGAACTGGAGGAAACTCTTCCACTGATTCCTTACCCACATCTCCAAAGGCATCTGCATCAAGTAGTTAAAAAAGAAAAAAATTATCAGTTACAAAGACAAATTTTGAATTTGACGGAGCTGATAAAAGAGTGTCAATAAGTTCAAATCAGTAAAATGTCATTGCCATGAAAGAAACTTTACAATCGAAAAATACAACCTAGGATCCGTATAGTACATCTAAGTGTTTGTCTTCCATAGTAACAGAAAGAGATAAAGACATTCAGAATCATTGTCCATGAGCACTTTTACAACCTATTATTATATAACATTCAGAACCATTGCCCAAGAACACACTTGCACCCGATTTTCTAATAAGAATGAAAAATAGTTAATACCAAAGAGGGTCTTCTTACTGACAAATAGCATGTATGCATCAAGTTCCAACGAGAAATTAACTATCGCCGTGCTAATGCTTTACAGAAAATAAAAACTAGTACTTCGGTCCTTGTTTACTTTGTTCGAAATAACATAAAGTTTTAAGTAAGAACTGAAAACGAGTATTTGATGTAACTTTTCATTTTTTTAAAACTAGTGGTCAAGAATCTTTCTGAGTCACACCATGCACTTAAATGAGGGTATTTGTAGAAAGCCGATTAACTATTTCTTAGAAAGAGATTGTATTTTGTAGATATTTCACAAAACACAACAAAGCAAGCATTGAGGGAGAACTAAATATAAGATGTTTTGTTATTTTTACCACATAAAGATAAAGCCTAGCACATCATACCCTCACAAAGATGACTTTACACCACTTTAGCTAAATACTATGATGTATTAGCTCATACCTGAATAATAGGATACTATATAGCTACCATAAATTCCATTTAACTCCACCTCCCATTAAGCTTGGGAAAGCATCAGTACAAAAGTACTCTAGGATTTGATACATATAAAGATTTCATTAACTGTCCTCTTCTACTTTAAAGAGTTGCCCTTTTATCTAATTTGAAAGCTCATCCCCCTCTGTATTTTCGTTTTAAATATATATTGTACTTTACACTACTTACATAAGGCTTTAAAGAATCGGTTATTTTTTCACATGAACCAAATTATCTACAACAGTAAGGTTTATCTTGAGGCCTCATCATGATAAACAGGCTTTGTTGATCATTAGCTTTGATTTGGTCATGCTCCACAATTAATGTTTGATTTATTATTTTTTAATCCATGTTTGGATTAAAAAATTTACATAGCAAGAAATATGTCATCAAATGCTACCAATTAGAAATATTGTTAACTAAATGTGGAAATATAGACATTAAATGCACTCATGGAAAAAGCATATGAATTAAAACAGTCAACCAGGACATCATGTCTGAGGGAGTACTTTAGTGTGAAAAACATAACCAATATACATATTAACTATATACACGAAACTTAATTCAGACAAAACCCATACAACTAGTTTTTAATACTTCAAAAAAGTAGCTCGCAGTGCACATTAAATTATTATAAGAAAATAAAATACTTCCAAGATTTATATCTAAAGTATCCATTTTTTAAATGTAATCTCCAGCAATAGGAATGCAAACTCGAAAATTAGGAAATCAATCTTCATCTTAGTAATGCAATATCCATCGAGAAGCCCACCTATAAAGGAAACACGGTGTGGAATAGCTAAGTTCATATGACATTTAAGTCTAACCAAGAATGCTGTATAAACTTACTAAAGTGTGAAAGCGAACACTTTCCTAAAAAGTATATGTAAGTATATGGGAAGAATGTTGCTTGCAAAGAATCTCACAAAGGAAGCATGGAAGTGAGATCTAAACTAAGTTTAAGAGTTTCATTCCATAGCAATGAGATCATATAAATATTTGAAGAAAATATTTCAACAAATTATTTGATGTTAGACATAGATCTTAGGGATTTGTCCAACTCATAGAAGAGATATATAATACCTATATTACAAGAATTTATGCCTCAGGTATGAGGGAGGCTATGGAAAGAAATTGACTTGGATGAAATTAGGACTGTCCGTGGGTCGGTTCGATTCGGTTCTGAAGAGACCCGAACCGACCCAAAACTTTCGGGTATTTAATAAATGGACCCATCGGGTCCAAATATAATTATGGAACCGTTCGGGTTCGGTTCCGTTCGGTTCCGTTCGATTCCGTACCATAACTAAATTTTTAAATATTTACAGCAACACTACATAAATACAGCTAATGACATTTCATTCGTAACTTTTACAAATTAACGTAGCCCAATTTAAAAACATATAAATAACTAGCCGCCCAATAAAATTAATTCAATGCATACAAATACCAAAACGTAGATATTAATATTACAGCAAAACTACATAAAGTATATTCATTTGTTTCAAATTAAAATGGGCTAATGAATTTTAAAAATGATTTGGGCTTTCAAATTAAAATTATGAAATAATCTGATTTATTTAATTAATTTGCTAATTTTTTTATAAAAAAATAAAATAATTTAATTAATTCAATATAAAAAATAAAAAAAATTATTTAGTTTCAGTTCTTATTCGGTTCTTCGGTTCTTGGTCTAGACCCGATACCCGACCCAAACCCATCGGTTCTCGATTCGGGTACCCGTTCGGGTATTTAATTTATGAAGAACCACTCGATTCCGGTTCGATTCGGGTTCAGGATTGGTCCGGTTCGGGACTTTTGGACACCCCTAGATGAAATAATAATAATACAAAGTATCAGGATAAATTAGGAGAAGGATTAATTGGTTGGGACATATTCTGCACCAACCTAAGGAAAATCACATTCATGAGAGTGATGCAGTTTTAGTTAAAAAGGTTAGAATATAAAGAAGTGGACCAAATTTACATTGCTTTACGTGATTGTAAAGGATTTCATTTCATTGGATCTTTAATATATGTAGCAATGGATTAAGCAGATTGGTGAAGAAGCTAACCAAATTTATGAAAAAGAAGGCTTAAAATATTTTCTTTTGTTGTTTTGGGTGTCAGGATGGTCTTAGCTCTTGAATATTTGGATGCTATATAGAAAAAGAGAAAAATAAATTGGAATATCCGTCTAATGCATCGTGAGAAATTTGCAATATAGTAAAAAATTCAATTATAAACCTTCTGAACACTTCATATGCATGATTAACTCAAAGTGATAAACAATTTGTCAAAAGTTTTCAGATCATTTGAAAGTGTGAATGCTGATGATACTAAGCCCCCTGTTTGAGCTCCATTTTAGAAAAAAATGCATTTTTCTCTTCCTCATTTTCAAATACGCATTCTCCAATAAAATAATATTACATATAAATCAAAAAATATTCCTTATTTTTTAACCACACATTCTCCAAAAAATCACTATTCCAAAATACATTTTGCCCCGAAATTCATTTCTAATGGAGCCCAAACAGGGGCTAATACTTATCTTGGTAAAAATGAAGTAAACTTACACTGGGGCTGAACAATCAAATTCACTTTCTCCCCCCTTTGCATGGTCTTGATAGCTTTGGGTAATGCCGGACAGAAGTGACCTAACAAAAGGAAACTAGGTCATTTTACATGAAAATTACATATTGGTAAAACTTGTCAGAGACGAATGTAACTTACCATCTTTGACATAAAACTCCACTCCCTCTTCAGGCGTTTTTGCAACAACGGTGTCATCAACCAGGGTTACCTTGTAATTTACTGCACGTGAACATTGAAATCAAGAAAATGGCTCATGTGGAGAATGTTAAATGCACCATGTATCATACAATCAGATATGGCGGTTGGGAAAAGAAATAGTCAAATTCTATCAATCACAGTACCACAAACTTCATCTAAATCACTAGGAGGGCCAACTTGTTCCCCCTTCTCCATGATCTTCTTGATAATTCCACCATCCCTGCAGATATCTACCACTGTAATCCATGAGGTTAGTTCCACCTCAAACTGAATAATCGAATCCGGAGGAACACCATCAGTGCCAGCTTCTCCATAACCCACTTCAGGAGGCAGAGTGAACAACGCTTTTTCGCCTTTTCTCATTGTAATAATTCCATAATCTAAACCAGTTATGACTTGACCTAAACAAAAACACAAAAGACCCCAACAAAATCTCAATTAAATAAAAGAGCTACATACCACCTGTTAAATAGGAAAAGAATAACAATTGAAAGAAGATGCTTCAAATACTAGTTCAATTTGCACAAGGATAGGAGAAAGAAATTATTCAAAAGGGAATTACAGCTCACTTATAGATTCCATACAATACAGTTTTATAAACAAAAAAAAGTGAGATTGATAAAAGCTTTATTCGCTCTAGTCATACTCAATAAGAAAATTTCAACACTGACTCAACTGGAATCAAACTTCAAGAAAATGGAAGAGCTATAGAAGGAAACTGGAATGCAACAATGGCATATGCTTTATTAGGGAAAAAAATAAACAAAAACTTTTCTAGAAAATCCCCTGAAATTGACTCAATTCTCCTTTCTGTAGATGCACTATGAGATAATTAATCTGTTACAACACCTTATATTATATGGCATAGGAAAACCAAGGAATAGAGCCTGAAAAACAATCAAAAACCAAACATCCTTATCAGATAAAAAAATCAAAATGAACTCAAAAAACTCACCATGTCCAAGCCTGAAAGTGAAGGGCCTGTCCTTATCACCAGAAACGGACTTCATACCATCCAACAGACTTCCGACATAGTGAACTACACTCCAATAGACCGAAAACAAGTCTCAAATGCAGCATAAAAAGAATTGATACAGTTGACCTTAGCTTGTAGGAGGCTATTAAGCTAACAACCAACCAATATATAAGAATTTGATTACAAATTAATCTATTTTTTTTTTTAATAAAATCTTATAAGAATTTAAATTACTTCAGTATACTACTCCTTACACCCCCACTTTCATATTTCAGTTTTAGTTCATTTCCTTCAACAAAATTCAATGTTAACAATTTAAATTAGTTCAGTACAAAATGTTCACATAGTAATAGCATTTTTCTAAAAATCCTACTCTCACCCATCAAAATGAATGTCCTGAATGAATTTTTAAGTAAACCAGTAAAGCAGACTTAAAGAGAAAGATCCAAAGGCTCTTTAACTCCAGATGAAAGAACTAACTAAAACTACTACATACCAGATAAAAGTCTTGAAACCCATTAATTTGCCACTACATTCATTTCACATGAATAGAGTAGAAAATATGACAAATATGAAGATGTAGAGTGCTTACTGGTGACTTCATCACCAAATTGAGGACTCTCCCAATTAAGGCCACGTTTTAGGAGTTTCTTTTTGAGGCAGCCAAATGGGGACTTTATCTCTCTTTCTTCACCCACTTTCAGAGGCGGCGCTGATTCAATTTCTTCTCCTGGCTCTTCTTCTTCTTCGTCATCATCTTCGTCTTTTATGTCCTTAAGGTTCACTTTCGAAAACTCCACCATATTATATGCTTTCTTTTGGGAGATCGGGTGCAGTCTTTTGTTATTGACTTGTTCGTTTTTACTGGGGTTCTGGGTGATCGGAGGAGACACCGGAGCGTGGAGGCGCGACAAAAATGTGGGTAGTTTCGAGAGAATTCGAGGATAGTTGTTTTAATTTTTTTTTGTCGCTGTTCAACTTTTAAATAAATTTCAATTAGGTCACTAGATTTAAATTTGTCTTGAATCGCTGAGTTTCAATTCAACCCTGTTTGACCACCATTAAATAGAAAAATCATATTTTAAATAGTGATTTTTAAGAAAATGTGTGATTAAAAAATAGGAAAAAAATTTAAATTTACGTACATAATATTATATTTTGTGAATAGATGGTTGAAAATGAATAGAAATTATCTCCTCCTTAAAGTGGATAGAAATTATAATGTACACCTCCGATATCGTGTTGCCATGCAAGTCAAACTTTTTTTCTTACGAAAAGTCAAAAAAATATGACAACAGTTGATGTGGCACCACCACGTCAGTTGTGGACAATTGTTATCATGTCCACTGTGAGCAGGAGATCAACTATGTGAAATGAGCACAGTAGAAAAAAAAGTTTAAAAATAATGATTATCAAACATGAACTTAATTTCATCTTGACATTGATAAAAATTGCTCAATTGCAATATCACCACGGATCCTTCATCCATAGTTACTCCCTCCGTCACATAAAGATAATCTTGCTTTCTTTTTTCGTCTGTCCCAAATTATAGTTTTGTTTCTTATTTGAGAGTGTAGTTAATATATTAAGTTCTTAATATGCCCATTTTTAACGTGTTTTGTTATCACAAATATAAATCACTCTATTATTCAATTGTAGTTGGAACAATAAATTAAAAAAAAAAAAAACCATTTCATCTTCAATGACATTTATTCATTTGTATTTGTATTGGATGACTTTAGAACCTTAATTACCTTAATGTAGAAGTATATTAGGAAAACTAATAGTAAACTTTATTATTTCAAGTATATTAACTAAAATTTATTAACACGTGTGAAAAAAGAAATATGACTATTTTAATAGAACGAAGGAGTATATAACATGCCAAGATAACACTAGACAAGTATCATACAAATGTTAAAAAATATAACAGGACGTGCATTTTAACTGTTTAGTGCATGTTGGTCAAAATTTATTTTTATCCACACATATAGAATCCATAGCTTTTATCTACTTTTACTTATTATTTATACATTTCATAGAAGTACTTATAATTTACTTAAATCTTTGCCAAACAAGTAACTGCATTTACCAATTTTGTTTCTAACGTATCATTTGGTAAGCTACATGGTTATCAGTCAAATTATTTCTGCAAGTTTGAAGATGATACATCACCAAAGACATTCGAGAACGGTATGCAACAAAAAGAATCATGGACATGGATGTACTATGTAGAGATTCAATTGGACTGCTCTGCATATTTGGACTTTGAGGAATTGGGCATTGAAGCTTTGAATTATGCCATAATGATTAGGTTTTCCAATTAATTCTCGAAGAAACTTAAGTTTTTGGATAACTTGAGAGTTGACACTTCACGAGTTTTTTTAATCAAAATCTGAAATCTTGAAAGTATTCAGTGGACTTAGGTTAAGTTTTAGCGTGTTTCTGACATCGAGAGCTTCAAAATGACTATGTAAGTTTAAGGACTGTTTCAATATGGAATTCTAAAGGTTTGAGACTTTATTTATAGTGAAGGAAGTAGGGATCATTTTCGCATCTATTTATTTTTTGTATTTCCCTACTAGTATAAAAGAGTCAATCCGCAGTTCTTTCTGAAGCATTTTGCCTTCCCATTTTATCCCCATTAATTAATGTTTTTTCTCATTTTATCCTCATTATTTACTATTCATTTGTGAAACAGTGTTCATCCTCATCTTATCAAAACAAAAGGGTAATATAGAGTTTTTACTTACCCACAATTGTTGACTGGATTGACTGTGAAAGACAAGCGACAAAAAAATAAGAAATAAATTTTTTTTCTACTTATCGAATTTTCAATGAAGTTACGTTCCAAAGAAAATGAACTTATCGAATCGGTAAGTGGTTTCAATTTTTTTCGATTTTGTTTAGTTTTATATTTTCGTTCTTCCTTGATTTTTCAGAAAATATCTTCTCCGTAATCCAATTGATATTTTCGTGAATGGTGGTGAGTGGAAGATTAAAATCATATATCCAATCAATAAAAGCATATTAAAGACAACACAAAATTGAATATTCTATTCCTGATAAAAGACTACATTAATCTTTTATTAGAGTTAATGCTTTCAGATCACAATTATGAAGATAATCCATTCATGAAAACAAACGTTGGGCATTGCTCATGCTTGTATTCGTTAAAAGCAAATCAAGATATAAACAAGTATTTAGAAAAGTATCAAGCAGTTGTTTTTTTTTTTTCTTTTTCTTTCTTGCAATGAATTAGAGGTGGAAAGCTAATCTTTGAAGATTAGAGCTGAAAAACTAATCATTAGCATAAAAAATATGGAATAAATCAACTCAAAAACAGGTTGGAAAAGTGCTAAAGAAAGATAAAAAAAGGTAAGAAAAACTGGCAAATCCGGTAGGTGTAATGCAAACACGGTGAGAGTATTGCATATACGATAAGTTGAGTGAATATACAGTGTGTGCCCTATTTCCCTTAAAAAATCAGTAAAACTCTTGCAAAATCGGTAAGAGAATAGCATATACGGTATGTGAAGTGCAAATACGGTGATTAAGTTGCATATACGATAAGCTCTCAAAAATTCGGTAAAATCAATTCTTTTGAAAATCCGATAAGGAGAGTAAAATCCAGTAATGCCAAATACGGTTTGCCTTATGTAAAACCAGTATGTTTGATCAAATCCGATAGATTTTCTAAATGAAATGCATGGGTTAACTTTAAAAATAATATGTTTCTAATAACAAATAATATTATTTATTGAATTAAGGTAAATTTATTATAGTCAATACTCTATAATTTAGTGTAGTGTTACTTGAAATTAAAACAAATACTTTATAAGTTAATGGAGTAATATTTCAATTTATATATGAATGTTTATACTGAAGTTATATATAAACTAAGAAGGAAAAAGAATAGTTAGGATCGTGTTTTTTTTATACCGAAGTTATATATAAAATAGTACTAAAGTTAAAACAAAGAAAACGCTTAACAATGATTAATAAAGTACTATTAATTCAAGTTAATTCATTCATCACACTTATTTTTAACTTTAATACTATTTTATATATCAATTCTTTTTCTTTCTTAGTTTATATATAACTTCAGTATAAACCTTCATATATAAATTGAAAATCAGATTTTTTTTTTTTTTACATTTACAATTAAAAATATATATATATATTTCTTAGTAATTAATAATCACTACACATTTGTCAACAAAATTTAAAGTTCATAATATTCACAATAAAAACAACAATAATAATATAATAACGTTAATAATAAATCACTCCAATGTCCACCTTTTTTTATTTTTTTTATCATTTCTACCTTATTGCCTCTAAATATCTAATTAGCCACAATTGTTGACTTCCCATCCCTATCCTTAAGGAAGTCAAAAGGCAAAAAACAACTTATTCTACATGTTTTGCCCACAACATCAAATCCAAATTCCCTACCTCAATTCTCTATTGACTATCAGTGCAAAAGATATCTTACTTGAGCTCACAAAAACACTACTGACTGCTAAGATTCTTGTATAGAAAAATCCCTTCTTTTAGCTCACAAAAGCAATTGGAATTGTAAAAGAAAATTGAGTGTTTAAAACTTCTCCAACACTTTCTCTTGCTTTAGCTTACAATAACTAATTCATCTTTCGGTGTTCGAATTCCCACTGCAAACATAAGAAGACTGCGAGGATTTTCATATCTTTGTTGAACTGAAGAAATTAGTTTAAATCGAAAATACGCGAGATAAATTACATTTGTTTGTGGAAGTTTTCAAATAGACATCCTATGGTATGTGTATTCCTTCTCTTACCTTCTTCAAATCATGCCAAATTTTGAACAAGCACGATCCCTTGATCTGCCAATCCTGTATTTTTCTAAATATATTGGTTTAGTTATATAATTTCGTCTTTTTGATTATGTATTCTTTTTTGGAAATTTTTTTTTTTTTTTTTTGCTGATGGAATATAGTTAGACATGCTTAATTTAAAGAGCTCGCTTTATATTTGGAATATGGATGATGTTAATTTGACTGAGTACCATGGATTATTGTCATTCCAATTTCTAATTCTTCGTTTTATTATGGTTGGTGGGTATTTTTCTTTGATTCCATTTTTTCTTTTTTTTGTGTATTCGGGCTTCTTAATTATTTCTTGGCATGGAAATTAGTTATTTCTTGGACTGTGCTGGATAGTTTGTTTTTGCTGAATTTAGAAATCCAAATAACACATTTTGTCAGATTTCATTCTAAAACAATATAAGTCAAAACAAAAGAAATTAATATTGAGTGGAGTACTCTCGACTTGGTTTCATGAGGACATTTTGCATTAGTTGAAAATAGGTTAAATAAGTTAAATATATTTCATGGGGATTTTATTCCCACTTAACTTTCTTCACTTTTTGTTGGTTGCTTTTAGCCTCAACTATTTCGCATATTGTTGTCATGGATGTTAGAAATTTCTATGGAGTTACTGCTCCTTTAAACTTCAAAACAATGTCCTCTCGCCAACAACAAACCTAAAGGCAACGAGAGCGACGACAACGCCTTCGCACTGGACGCACCGATCATCGCAAAAGAATAGCATCTGGACATAATAATTCTGATGCTAATCCTACGTTATCGGAACAGAATAAATCCAATTCTGTGCAAATGTAATCTCCTATAATGAATCATAATTTCCAAGTTGCTGAAACTTCTACTTCAACAAACCAAGATTCTCCTATTATTTACAACACTGAATTACAACGTAGTTTTAATATATTAAACATACCAACCACTCCATATGTATTACCTACG